CTGATGACATTCCCTAGTTGGGTCATGAGACGTCTGCAAGAAAACCATCCAGCTCAGAGAGCACCAAAGAACCCACAACCTTACTCTTCCTCCTCCTCCCCCCCTTCTTAAACTGATGACATTCCCTAGTTGGGTCATGAGACGTCTGCAAGAAAACCATCCAGCTCAGAGACCCCCCAAGAACCCCACGTTCCTCCTCTCCTTTTCCTCTTCCTCCTCCTCTCCCCAAATGTTTGCAAGGAAACCACCCAGCTCAGAGACCCCGCAAAGACCCCAAAGTTCTTCTCCTCTTCCTCCTCCTCTCCCCAAATGTTTGCAAGGAAACCACCCAGCTCAGAGACCCCGCAAAGACCCCAAAGTTCTTCTCCTCTTCCTCCTCCTCTCCCCAAATGTTTGCAAGGAAACCATCCAGCTCAGAGACCACCAAGGAGCCCACAGTCTCCTCCCTCCTCCTCCTCTTCTCTGCAAGACCTCCTTCCCTTCTAGCCCCGATGACGTTCCCTAGTTGGGTCACAAAACATCTGCCTTCCCCCCCCCAAAAAAAAGCCAACAAGCCCCCCCCTCCCCTGTCCAACCCCGAGCTACACACATTCTCTTCCTATCGCAACCCCATCTTATGTACAGAGGAGGCTTCCACTTACCTGCTCCAGGGATCCAATCGGCTTGCCAGAGTTCAGGGCGGATCCCCCCCCTTGCTGGCCGTAAATAACAGGCAGGGGTGCGGAGTAGATTCAAGGCCGAGGGCGATCACGGATCCCGTCCCCAAACCTCTGCCGTCAGATAAACGAAACCTGTTTTCTGGACGACGACGATGATGTGTGTTCCCGATACGTCCGACAAAAAGAACGGGCGTTGTGTGTGACGTAGGAGTGAAAGGATGGTGTGATGGGCTTGGCTGGTGTGGTGGCCTAGGATCCCTAAAGGAATTCAGCGGCGGGGAAGTAGAACCGGGTTGGTTAAACGCCGTCCAAAACAACCCTAAGCGGGTGGTTTTGATTTCTGTGGCTGCCACAGCCTTACTTTTAAGTTACTATAGGTAGTAGTATCCCCCAAGACTCTGAGCTGAGGGGAAGGAGGGGCAAATCACCTGGAGGTTGTTAAAATTCACCCCCCCCCCGTCTCCCAAGGGGGAGAATTCAGCAGAGGGCCAGACGGGTGGCAGCCTCAGTTTGCAAGCACAGGCTAGTCCTCAACTTACGACCACCAGGGAGCCCAAAGCCTTTCTCTTTCTCTAAGCGAGGCGGTGTATTTGGGCCCATTTTGCCACCTTTCCCGCCCCGACGGTTGGGTTGCATCTCAGCGGTCAAGCGAGCAACACGGTCGTTAAATGAATCCGGCTTTTTTCAGACCTGTTTTATCTTNAGGTAGGATGGATAGATGGATGGATGGATGGATGGATGGATAGAAAGATAGGTATGTAGGTAGATAGGATAGATAGGTAGGTAGGTAGGTAGGATGGATGGATGGATGGATAAATAGAGAGTGAGAGATGATGGATAGATGGATGGATGGATGATAGATTAGATTGATTGATGGATGGATGTACATAGGTAGAAAAGAGAGAGCGAGAGGAGAGAGATAAAAATATACATAGATTATAATAGATGATAGATAAATAGACAAACACAGACAGATAGACATAGATGATAGACAGACGGGCATAGATAGGTGATAGATACCATAATAAGACACACACAGAGAGAGAGAGAGAGAGAGAGAGAGAGAGATGATAGAAACAGAAAGATGATAGAGGGAGGGAGGGAGAGGTTAAATAGACAGACCACAGAATCAAAGGATGGGAAGGGACCCTGGAGGTCGTCTAGTCCAACCCCCTGCTCAAGCAGGAGGCCTTATACAGCCTTTCAGACCAACGGCTCTCCAAGCTCTCCATGAAAACCTCCAGGGATCAAAACACCTTCCAGAGGACGGATGGATGAATAAAGATGTGTGAAAGAGAGAGAGAGCGGATGGATTATAGGCAGACAAATCCTTTTTTTCCTCTCCTCTGCTTCCTTCCTCCCTTCCAGGAAGTCCTCCCTGCTACAAACATCCACGGAGGAAGGCAAAATCTACTACGAACCGGATGCCGCCGATGACTTTGACGACGAAGATCCCGATGACGACTTGGACGTCTGAAAGCGAAACGGGGGGGAAGTTGTTCCAGATCTGGAGCTGGGATCCTGCCACACATCTTCCTGGAGAGCTGCAACTTGGGAACGATGGAGGGGAGGTGGAGGGGGGGCAGAACCAGTGAAGCGCGAGGAATGTTCTGGCAGGGCAAATCGGAACCCGCGGCCATCCGAAGAGAGAAAAATCCATCCAGATTTGCTGCTTTTTTTTCTGGGAAAGGACAGGAGTAAAACCGGTTTGGATCCCGGAGAGGAATTGCTGACGGTGGACAGAGGGATTTGATACCCTCCATCCTTTTGACGAAAGGAGAGATTCCGAGCCAAGCAGCCAATAAACTATCTTGAGTGCCGACAGGACAGGCTCCTTCCGACTCTCAATGCAATAGAATAGAATAACCGAGCTGGAAAGGACCTTAGAGGTCTTCTAGCCCAACCTCCTGCTCAAGAAGAAGACCCCTAGACCATTTCAGACAAGTGGCGTTTCCAATCTCTTCTTGAAAACCTCCAGTGATGGAGCATCCATGGCTTCTGGTGGCAAGCAGTTCCACTGGTTAATTGTTCTCATTGTTAGGAAGTTTCTCCTTAATTCCTTCTGGCGCTTTTTCCTCTTTCCTGAACTTTTGCAATTGATGACTCGTATCTTGTCTTTTTATGTACACCGAGAGCTTATGTAGCAAAGACAAATTCCTTGCGTGTCCAATCACACTTGGTCAATAAAGAATTCTATTCTATTTTCTATTTATTCTATTTCTTATTTATTCTATTTTCTATTCAATTCTATTTTCTATTCTATTCTATTTTCTATTCTAATCTATTCTATTCTAATCTAATCTAATTATATTTTATTATTCATTTCATTTGATTTTCTATTCTATTTTATTCTACTTTCTATTCTATTCTAATCTAATCTAATCTAATTCTATATTTTATTATTCATTCCATTCGATTTTCTATTCTATTCTACTTTCTATTCCTTTCTATTCTAATCTAATCTAATTCTATATTTTATTATTCATTCCATTCGATTTTCTATTCTATTCTACTTTCTATTCCTTTCTATTCCTTATTCTATTGCTAATCTAATCTAATTCTATATTTTATTATTCATTCCATTCGATTTTCTATTCTATTCTACTTTCTATTTCTTAATCTAATCTAATCTAATTCTATATTTTATTATTCATTCCATTCGATTTTCTATTCTATTCTACTTTCTATTTCTTAATCTAATCTAATTCTATATTTTATTATTCCATTCCGTTCGATTTTCTATTCTATTCTACTTTCTATTTCTTATTCTATTCTAATCTAATCTAATTCTATATTTTATTATTCATTCCATTCGATTTTCTAT